GCTCCCCAGCAGACCTGTGCTCCAGACCCTGCCCCAGCTCCGTTGCCCTTCTTTGACACCCTCTTAATGCATCCTGGCAGCCCCTCACTCCGCACGATGCAAACAGCATCGGACAAATCCCTCGACGGAGGATTTCCCAGCCAATGCTCTAATTCTCTCGCGGCATCTTCCCCTCGAGATTTGAATCCCGTCTGAGACACTCATTGACTTTGAGCCCAAAACCAGCTTCACTAACGCAAACAGCAACCGGCTGCTTCTGCAAAACCCAGTTTGTACAAAGCCAGTCGCAACGCTGTCGGCTGGCAGCAGCCGCTTTGGCAGCGCCGGGTAGTTTTTCCCCCGCGCAAAATTTTATCTCTGTGGTGAATCACCATGCCAAGCGTTACAGGAGAAGAACCAAAAATATGAGTTTTGGACCAGGGTAGGATGGGTGATCTGAGATACCACCTGTATCTGCCCGGCTCGTGGGCTCTTTCCCCTCCGAACATCAGTCATCGTATGCGAGGAAAGCTCCAGAGGCGACAAGGTGGATTGAATTTATCCCTCTGCAAATCTAGTTTTGCGAAGCTGCCAGCAGCCAGCAGCGCTGGAAAGATTAAGTGAGAACGTCGCAAATTTTTTATTTATTCCCACCCCCACCCCTTCACCTCCACGTCAAGCTTCAGGAAGAAGCATTGCATTGCTCCGCATGTGTTCTCACCCGAGGCATTTGCAGCCTCCTCTATTTCTCCCTTCATCCCTTCTCCTTTCACAGAATGAACAGGTTTTCCTTTTAATTTTTTTTTCCCGGATGGAACATATGCCCTGTGTTGCATTTTTAGGTGGCCACTCGCAGGGGAGCAAAGACGTAGGGATTAATTTATGAGTAGGCAGGAGGTACTGCGGTCAGCTCTTCCTCTGCCCCAGGGTACCAAACCTTATCACCTTTGTGCAGCTGAAAACCCACCGAATCCACCCGATAATTATTCCTCGGATATCTGTTTGGTACTTGAAGCTCCTTAGAAAAAAGCCGAGGCAGTGGGTGTTAGTGCTGCTCTGGCACAGCAGCTGGTGATGTATCAACGTCTCCTGGCTTCTGCATCCACGTTTCTGTTGCATTTAAAGTAATGAATTAATTCGGTAAGAGATGAATCCCCTTGCGTTCTAGCCGGTCCTCAGAGATTAGAGGGGCTGAGGGTGGCTGGATTCATTTAATAGCAGCTCTAATTAGGGCCCTGACACCAGATGCACAAACAGCCCGGAGGCTGTAGGTCCGGTGGCATTCAAGGGAAGCCGTCAGGGTCACGCATAGAACGGTTTATTCTGCTGCAACATCGACAAATTCTTCGAGATTGCCTCCGATAAATGCACAGACTGCAGGTTGGCTCTATAGCACTACGCAAAAAGAATGACTGCCATCACACCCAATTAATTCCGGGGTAATCACTCGGCGTAGCCGATGGCTCAAATCTTACCAAAAAGCGTCCCTTTGGGGGCGGGGGGGGGACAAGGACCACGAACCCATCCGTCTGTCCATCCAGTTTGGTATCGGATTATCATCCCTCTGAGTTAGATACAAACTCAGGGTAGTTTTGACTCAGCGTGTACGTGTGGGTGGCTGGGACTGTGGTCAAGCCATTGTTTCTGGAGTAACGACACAGCGCGTTCCTTGGTGTGCGCTGTTTTTTTTTTATTTTTTTTGTGGGAAAAGAGAAAAAAAAGAGAGATAAGGTCTCACAGAGTTCCACAAAACAGTCCTTGAGAGAAGGGAAGGAGCAGGAGATAAATCTGCAGAGTCACGTCAAACGTTCCTGGAGATAAGTGGAAGAACGGGACCGCGTGGCCTCCACCTCGCTTCGCGTTCCTCCTTGGTGCCACGGCAGCACAAATCGCTGGATCTTCGTCCCATCCTGTGTTTGTTCT